GCGGCCCGCGGAGGAAGCCCCCCCCCCCCCAGGCCTGAGGGACCAGCCAAAGAGCAACTGCCTGCTGGCTTTGGGCATATCGGCCCCGCTGGGCTGCAGTGGGGCCAGGGGCCCGCGAGGGGCTGGGCCGTGCTCTCTGTGCAGAAGCAAGGTGAGGGAGGGAGGCCGGTTATCATTAACACAGCAAGCAAGGTTGTCTGGTCTTACAAGGGGCCCTCGTGCACGGACCCCTCTGGTGAAGCCGACGCAAAGAGCAACTGCCTGCTGGCTTTGGGCATATCGGCCCCGCTGGGCTGCAGTGGGGCCAGGGGCCCGCGAGGGGCTGGGCCGTGCTCTCTGTGCAGAAGCAAGGTGAGGGAGGGAGGCCGGTTATCATTAACACAGCAAGCAAGGTTGTCTGGTCTTACAAGGGGCCCTCGTGCACGGACCCCTCTGGTGAAGCCGACGTAGGACGGTCTCTGCTGTGCCTGGTTCTGCGGGAAGGCTGCTCTGCGGCGCAGTGCGAACGGCCTGCATCGAACGGGAGAGAGGCAAAGGGACAGGGTGAGCACCCGTCGCAGGAGCCTCGGGACAGGCCCAGGCGTCGGTTTCATAGTAAATAACCGAGGCCGGGTTGACGTGAAGCCCTATAGAGCAGGCCAGGGGGTGTGCGCGGCCCACGGACCGGCAGCAGTGCCGCATGGGGCCAGGCACTCCGCACGCCTCTCCTGCATGCTGCCTGTGCGGCACTTGGCCCCCCAGGAGTCGTGCAGTGGGAGGTTGCGCTAGAAGGAGACTCCGGTGCTGTTCCAAACCCACGTTCAATCGCGGGTCTCTGAAGAGCTGTTCGGACGCGCCCTTTTATCCCTGGCCAGGTTGTGAGTGCAATGACAAAGGAAAAAAGTCAATTTGCGAGTCTCGGATTTGGGGATCCCCCCACACCCTCGCTCACTTGGGGGAAGGGTTCCAAGGAAAAGAGAGGGGGAAGGAAGCAGAGCACCGAAGCGGGCGGGGCACTCACAAGGAAAGTCACGTCTTTGTTTTGGTTCAAATATTCGGCAACCAAAAAAGCACCAATGCAGGGGAAAAGTTTTCGGGAAAACCTGGCTGGAAACTCCCAACCGTCTCTAGCGGCTGCACTGAATCCTGCCCCCCGACACCGCTGTGGCAGAGCGCCCCCTGCGTGGGGGGCGTCGCTTCCCTCAGTCAGCAGGGGGCAGCTTGTGGCTAGAAGACAGAAAAGGGGCTGGGTGACATAGCGGGGCCTGTGTCGGAGATCACGCGCGGTGAGCCCGTGGCTCCCGTCCCGCCTTAACACATATGAACTGAGCATCAGCCTGGGCGCCGCACGTCCTGGCTTCCCAGCCCCCCGGCTGCATGTCAGACTCCTCGCACGTCACTCGTGTGTGGCCCGGCGTGAGGTCCCAGACAGCGTGAATCGGGCCATCGAGCCGGGCGGTTAAGGGTTTCACACCTTTACTTTATGAAAGTTAAAAGTTCCGTTTTTATGAGGGCAGAAGTAACTCCCTCTGCCAAGGGCCGGGCCAAGTTTACTAGACGTTGAAATGAGAGTGTATTTATTAACAATGGCCGGGGCGATGTCTGGCCAGGAAACACAAGCACACAGCACAACACTCTCCATGACTTCACAATAGCAAAGGGAGCCTTGCGTACAGTACAGTGCGGTCCAGGGCTGCTACACCTCTCCAGTTGGTACAGCACAGGAGAGAGATCCCTAAGCAGCTCATTCGAGCAGGCTGGTTACCCTGTCCTGAATCTCTTGGGGCGCTGGGGTAGCCATCCCTGGGCTGCAGGCTGTCCGCTGTCGCTGCTCTTTGTAAGCACTTCATCATCCCGGTTGCCCTAAAACACCGTGACAGCAAAATGGAGACAATGGATTTCAGGAAGGCAGGTTTTAGTAAACTCAGGGAGCTGGTAGGTAAGGTCCCATGGGAAGCAAGATGAAGGAAAAACAAGAAAGTTGGCAGTTTTTCAAAGGGACATTATTAAGGGCCCAAAAGCAAACTATTCTACTGCGTAGGAAACAGAGAAGGTGTGGCAGGAAACCGCCTTGGCTTAACTGGGGGATCTTGCATGATCTAAAAATCAAAAAGGAGTCATATAAAAAGTGGAAATTGGGTCATATTACAAAGGATCAATATAAGCAAACAACACACATATGCAGAGGCAAGATTAGAAAGGCAAAGGCACAAAACGAGCTCAATCTAGCTAAAGACATAAAGCGAAACAAGAAGACTTTCTATAAATATATTAGAAGCAAGAGGAAGACCAAGGACAGGGTAGGCCCATTGCTCAGTGAAGAGGGAGAGGCAATAACAGGAAACTTGGAAATGGCAGAGGTGCTTAATGATTTCTTTGTCCCAGTCTACACCAAGAAGATGGATGGTGACGGGATGCCTGACATAGTGAATGCTAGTGGAAACAGGCTAGGGTTAGAAGTTAAAATAAAACAAAAAATTAGAAATTACTTAGAAAAGTGGTTTAGAAGTTACAATTTAAAAAAAGAACAAGTAAAAATCACTTAGAAAAGTTAGATGTCTGCAAGCCACCAGGGCCTGATGAAATACATCCTAGAATAGTCAAGGAGCTGATAGAGGAGGTATCTGCGCCTTTAGCTATCATGTTTGGAAAATCATGGAAGTCAGGAGAGAGTCCAGAAGACTGCAGAAGTGCCCATCTATAAAAAGGGAAGTAAGAACAACCCAGGAAACTACAGACCAGTCAGTTTAGCTTCTGTGCCAGGAAAGATAATGGAGCAAGTAATTAAGGAATCTATCTGCAAACACCTGGAAGATAATAAGGTGATAGGGAACAGCCAGCATGGATTTGTAAAGAACAAATCAGGTCAAACCAATCTGATCGCTTTCTGTGATGGGGTAACAAGTCTTGTGGATAAGGGAGAAGTGGTGGATGTGGTACACCTAGACTTTAGTAAGGCATTTGATATGGTCTCGTATGATATTCTTATCAATAAACTAGGCAAATAAAACTTAGATGGGGCTACTATAAGATGGGTGCATAACACCACTTGTATTGCCCTTCCAGCATTACTGTTCTCAGAGAGTAGTTATTAACGGTTCACAGTAATACTGGAAGGGCATAACAAGTGGTGTTCCAAAGGGGTCTGTTTTGGGACCGGTTCTTTCAATATCTTCATCAACAATTTATACAATAGCATAGAGAGTAGCATTAAGCATTCAGTTTGAGGATGGTACCAAGGTAGGAGAGGTTCAACTGCTTTGGAGGATAGGGTCATAATTCAAAATGATCTGGACAAATTGGAGAAATGGTCTGAGGTAAACAGGGTGAAGTTTAATAAGGACAAATGCAAAGTGCTCCACTTAGGAAGGAACAATCCTTTTCACACACACAGAATGGGAAGCAACTGTCTAGGAAGGAAAGGGATCTGGGTTGATAGTGAACGACAAGCTAAATATGAGTCAACTGTGAGACACTGTTGCAAAAAAGCAAACATGATTCTGGGCTGCATTAACAGGAGTGTTGTGAGCAAGACACGAGAAGTCATTCTTCCGCTCTACTCTGCGCTGGTTAGGCCTCAGCTGGAGTATTGTGTCCAGTTCTGGGCACCACATTTCAAGAAAGATGTGGAGAAATTGGAAAAGGTCCAGAGAAGAGCAACAAGAATGATGAAAGGTCTGGAGAACATGAGCTATGAGGGAAGGCTGAAGGAATTGGGTTTATTGAGTTTGGAAAAAAGAAGACGGGGGGGACATGATAGCAGTTTTCATGTATCTAAAAGGGTTTCACGGGGGGGGGGGAATTGTTCTTCTTGGTCTCTAAGGATAGGACAAGAAGCGATCAGGGATTATCTAGGTGGTGCTGGCTCCTGCCATGAGGGCAGGGGACTAGACTTGATGATCTCTCGAGGCCCCTTCCAGTTCTAGTGTTCTAGGATTCTAGGGACCTTACCTCCATGAATTCTTTTTTGAAACCTGTTAAAGTCCTGGACTTCACAACATCCTCTGACAAGGAGTTCCACAGGTTGACTCTGTGCTGTGTGAAGAAATACTTCCATCTGCTTGTTTAAAATCTGCTACCTATTAATTTCATTTGGTGACCCCTCATTCTTATATTATGGAAACAAGTAAATAACTTTTCCTTATTCACTTTCTCCAGACCTCTCATGATTTTATAGACCTCTATTATATCCCTCCCCCACTTAGTTTCCTCTTTTCTAAATTGAAAAGTCCCTGTCTTTTTAATCTCTCTTCACCTTGTCTCTTCTTTCCTAGGTGGCCTTCATATTATCATCCAAAATCCTGCTCTGCAAATGTTTTTTCTTCTGTCATAACTGACTTGGTATGTAATCGATCCCCTAAGCTTATTAAGTCCTGAGGTGTTTGGTGGTCTTTCCCCCCATTAGACTGATCTGTGATGCTGCAGCAACTTCTTTTCCTCAACGGTGTCTCTTTTGGGACTGCAAATAACAATGTTTGGAAGTTCTGAATGACGGGAGAATGATCGAGAAGCAGCATGTGGGCCTGGGTATCTCAGAGGGTGGGCAGAATGCCAAAGCCTGTTTGCAAAGGCACAGGTTTATGAAAATGCAGTGTGATCCCAGGTCCCAACCCCCCTGAAATCCTGTCTTAGTCAACCAACTGCTGCATACTGTCTGCACGCTGCACACGTGCTTACATACCTGGCTGGGTCACGGCCGTGGAATGTGGAAGAACAGGCACCTGAAAGTGCCGTAAAGTGGGGCTTCCTCAGGACTTGTAAATACTGCCATTTACTCTCCCCCTTCATACCTGTAGGACAATATCTACCCCACTAGCATCACCCACTAAATGGTACATGTGCTCAGTTTTCCTGTGGCATGAAAACTACCTTAGAATTATGCTTCCCAACAACTACTTACCGCTTTCTCTTAATACCCAGCCTCTGGCTGTACATCCATCAGTCAGCACGTGCTCTTTAAATATGACGAGCCACATTCATTCTACACACAGGCATGTGCAGTGCCACCCTCTTTCTCTAGTGGGGGACTGTCATTATCGTGGGTAGTTTTAAAACCGTATCAAGCAGGTGTGGAGTATTTTCAAACCCACCTAACTCACCCAAACCCAGACCTCAAAAGGCAACTTCCCACCCTCAGGACTATTCCACGTTAAATTCCAGCTTTTCATCCCCAAACTATTTTGGTGCTAGAGATGTTCAAAATAGGAATATTTTAATGGTAACAGTATATAGTTTCCCCATTCTCTTGATACTAAAAAACAGCTGAGCCACTTTTGTTTGGACCTTAAAACTAAGCAAAGAAAAACCCTACCTCACTAGAGACTAGACCTAGAGGATTTCAACCTGACCAAGTGAAACCTAGAGAGTTACAAGTAACCCCAAAAGGGGGATTTATCATGGAAGCATTTGAGCAAGCTTAACGAACGCTGTCACTGGCACCTCTGAGGAAGTGGGTCTTTGCCCATGAAAGCTGATGCTCCAATACATCTGTTAGTCTATAACACGGATTCCCAAACTGAGGGGCATGCCTCCCGG